GTCTAAGTCTAGAGTTCGTGAACGTGAAATCTCGGGTTTGAGAGAGTTTTCTTCGTTTATGTGTATTTCTATTCTAGATAGAGCGACTGCGTTAGAATTCGATTGTCCTTTTTTGTATTTAATCTCAAAATTATATTCTTCCAGTTTTAGTCTCCATCTCAGTAATTTTGATGTAGGGTCTTTCAGTGAGAAAAGCCACTATAATGGTTTATGGTCGGATAGAATAAGAAATTTTTTTCCATATAGGTAGGGTCTGAAGTATTTTACTGCCCATACAATAGCGAGTAGTTCTCGCTCTATTGTGGATAAATTTGTTTCGGTGTCTGAAAGTGTTCTGCTAGCATTCGAAGTCTTGGCTCAGCACAGCGCCAATGGCGATGTTGCTAGCGTCAGTGGTCAAATGGAACGTTTTGNGTCTGTTCTCATCTTTTTGAATCGTGTTCAAGCCATGGTGGTGATTAAAGTCACTGCGATGATCAACTTTATGATGATTGCCAGATTGCTGGAACTCATTGCAGTTTAGAAAACGTTGTTTGTACGATCCACGATGACGTTGGATGGTGTGTTTTGCAGATTCAATTCCTGAAGATGTACTTTGAACTTTTACATCTGAGTGTCGTGGAAATTTAAATCAACGTTTGCCAAGATGTTTGGTTGCCCAGAGGATCCTGACTCGTGTTTCAGGTGTTTTCCTCGATATATTTACAATATACTTCAACAATGTTCCTTTCATCAAATCCGAGTACTTTCGTTACCTTTGGTTCCACCTAGACTCGTGCTTAACGTAGAATTAGCAAATATGACTAAAAGGACAAGACTTAAACAGACGCTACGGTTTATTGTACAAACTTATAGGACGACAATCCAAGCTATCGATGAAAATGAAAAACTTACAATTTACCAAACGCTACTACAACCGCTTTGGATATATGGGATAGAACTGTGAGGCCCTGATAAGCCTTCCAATTTCCAACGTCTCCATACTTTCAGTCTGAAGTCCTCAGATCAATTATAAATGCTCCTTATTATGTCTCTAATACTACCCTCCACAACGACCTTAAAATCCCATTATTTCAAAACATAATTCCTTAAAAATTTACCAAGTTCCAAAATAACCTCTCCCTTCAGCACAACAGTCTCTCCCAAACCTTGCCCAACAAAACCCATCCATATAATCCTATACGGCGTTTAAGGAGGAATTGGCCCCGCGACCTCCTTTCAGAGGGATAAGCAGTGAAGTTTATTCAATAAAGTGAAATGGAAGAATACTATTGATTATTTGCTTCCAACAATGTAAATATGCAAATAACTGTAAATATATCTACGTTCATCAAAGTACATGTTGTAACCGTGAATTGCAGACTGTAACAAAATATTTTTAAAAAAGTGTAGCCATTTGAGCTCGATCCAGTTTCTGACTCCCTTCTTTTATCTTAAAATGCTAGCCTCTCGTTTGTACCTCAGGTTGTCAACTACAGATTAGACACAAAACAAATAAATATTATGTATTGTATCATAATATACATCACCACAAACATAGAACACATTCATTCCTTCAGAGTACTCCTCCATATACCTCCAAGCGTGGTCGAACCAATTCCATTCTTGCAAAAACTTGCTTTTACTCTCCAGCCGTCTCACACTCATTCGATATTCCTTGGGTGGGGTTAAACAACTCCTTTCCATTAAGCTAATAAATTAAATTCATTCCTATAAATTAGCCTAAAGTCAACATAGGCACAACACATACACAACATAAGCACTATATACATTAAAAACTCTCTATAGCCCTGAGGTATCTAAATAGAGATCCTCTTGTCGAACCGTTGGCCATACAACTAGACCGTAGAATAATTTCTGGCTCAGAAGCGTTTTAAAAAAGGTCATCAATACTTCTATTTCTGCTACATCTCAGGACGTTTAAGACCCGCTTGCACTCGACTTGGATATTGATGATATGTGGTTGCAATTTGAACATCTCATCGAATGTCATGCTGTAGAAGCTTGAGAGGTCCTTCCAAGTACACGAGGGCTTCGACTCCCATCTGCAGTTGAGAGGGGTTATGTTCCCTCCTCAGTCAGCAGAAGTGGACTGCTCTCGTCTTAACCGCGGAGAAGGAATCCTCTCCGCATTGGCACGCTTGTTCCAACTACTTATAACTCTGTACCTCGAGTGTAAATAGCGGCATCGTCGACGTAGAGCGAGATCATCATCGGGGGCTGATGTTGACGATATCTTTACCTCAGTCGCAAAGAGAGTAACCAATAGTACCGATGTTGCAAGATACTATTTTCTTGCTATCACCTTTTAGATAGCGTACATCCCAGCGTAACCCTAAACCTCCGGTTGCTGAGGAAGCTCCTAAGGAACTCCGGAAGCCTACCTCTAAGGCCGAACTTGTTACATTTATACATGGGAGGGTACAATATTTCCATGTCATGTCGTTGGCCCTATCGAGGTCGAAGAACACAGACACTCCATGTTCCCTATTCCTGGCCTGCACCTCGTCCTCAAAAACAAAAACAAAAAAACACTTGGTCAAGGGATGCATGTCCTCTCTGGAATTCCTCTTATGGTGGCAATAGAGTCACCGAATCTCCAAAATAGATACTAGTCTTTTGTTCCTAATAGATTCGAGATCTTTACCTAGGCAGATGGTCAAGGATATCGGCCTGTAACTTGAGTGTTGGACGGGGTCTTTGCCTTCTTTGGCGATCGGTGCTATGACTTCTTTCTATTGCTCTGAGTATTTTCCGGCGCCACAAATGTTATTAAATAACTCTAAGATGCGACGCCTAGCCACCTCTGGGAAGTGGCGGAGCATCGCGTTAGGCACGCCGTTATTGCCAAGAGCTTTATTTTTTAGACCGTCTAAGGTTTGTTCTAGTTCAACCATCGTTATTGGTCGGTATATTCTTCCTCGTTGTCGCTGGTAAAGTCTAGTGCAAGCTGTTCCATTCTGCGGTTTTCTGTATGGAACCATTCTGTGTATGACCGATCGCTCGAAAAATCTTCGTAGTGTTGAACGAGCGCATCGGCCACCTCCTTCATATCCGTGGTGTTTTTATCAGTCGATTTTAGTGCTAGTATTGTTGGATTTTTGTCTTCCCCGCTATCAGTTTTACGTTTTCCAATATCTGCATCGGTGGCACTTCCTTTTTTTTTTTTTTAGCCCCGATACATATTCTTCTATGCTTTTCTTTTTCTGTTATGCTAATAGCTTTTGTTCTTGATTGAACTGATCTATAAAATGAAAAAAAAAGTTTTAGTATAGATAATAATCTTCTAAAGGTTGGATCTCATGGGACCAAATCTATTAAAAATGCATTTTTTGTCGGATATACCGTTTCAACCCGCGTATACTTCTCATGTGATCGCTACATTTTTTCTGGTCGTGTTGAGTTTATTCGAGAATGGTTGCGGCGGCTGTGGATAGGTCGACTCATTCGAAATGAGCAGATTCGCTTAGACACACTTTTGTATGGTAGTAATATAGTTTTTATCCCCAACAATGATATTCACGTTTTGAAATTATGAACATTTACTTTTTGTTTCAGGTAAGGGGTGAACAAGTGGACTTTCTCATATTGGTTAAGTAAACCAACACGAAATCTCAAATGAAATTATAATCATACATATTGCACTCAACAAGAGCAATTTTTGATAACTGGCAAATGTTTATGTAACCGATGTCAATAATGTTGAACACAACACAAAACACACGTCCAACAGTGAAAGAAAAACTTCACAAGATATTACATTTTGTATTATGTCTTATGATATTTGAAAACAATGTGTTCTAGATGTTTTTCACTGTTAATCGAGAACGTACTCGTGAATTTGAACCTTCTTTTATTGTTTTTAGAGATATATACATACATTGTTTATTTTTGCAGGAATTTCTTTTAAAATTAAAACAAAACAATATGGACAAATTGATTTTATTTGATTTTCACTTGTTATCCACTAAGATGGGTACAACCAAAAATTTCGTTATTTTCGCAGGATCGAGTTAATAATTGTAGCGGAGTTTTTGAATGAAGTATAAATTTTCCAAATCCAAACACACGACAACCACGTGAAACTCTACCCAGAACATAACACATTTTGTACACAGCTCATACATAATGTTAATTTCATATCAGCTGACAGAATGTTTCAATATATTAAACATTTTTTGAGTTTGAAACGTTTACATATCTTATTGTGAATAATACGAATCCAGTGAAACACTGCAAAGAAGATGAAAAACATCGAATAGGTATGTAATGACAACGAAGATCTTTAATATTCGTCATAGTACGCTTTGTCAAGAAATTCGTCTCTGTTCTTCACTCGAAGGAAATAACTACAAATTATTCGGAGAAAGATTTTAGAAAGTTTTTACAGAAACTTGGGGGACACATTGAAAAAACTGGAATTGTAAGTATCTTGCCAGTTCTTTAAGAAGAAAATACGGTATGGTAATTATTTTGTAGCTGTTGAAAATTTTTACCTTTGGATTTTTAGTACACACAAAAATACAAAATAAACACATAAAATGTTTTTATTTATTTATATTGCAGGTGTATAAATGCTTTCCAATTGAACATTGTAATTTACAAATAAATATTCGCTGCGTACATTTCTTCATGTCCCCATATACTCATGATTTCTTTATAGCTTCCATACAACTCTTCATTCGAAATTTGTACAACACAGATAAATCTAAGATGTTCGATTTTTTGTTCGACTTACTGGTGTATATTCAGGTAATAATGAGTTCAAATTTTCTTGACTATTTTGTATTTTTCTTCAATCTAATCTTCTATAGATGTGCTACAACGTCAGTGAACTTCTCGAACAACCCAAGTTGAGATGTACGTATAATTAATTATATTACAAATAAGAAAGTTAGAGAGGATCGCAATTTTAACAAACCATTGCACCTTTTTTTCTTTCGACAAATTTGTATAGGTTATGTAAAAATTTTCGACAAAATTTTTTTTTTCAGGATTTTCCAGATTTATATTTTCATGTAACTTTTGTCTTGGAAAAAATCCCATGAACTATGTACAAAAAAATTCTGAAACATTCAGTCGAGGAATGCAAAATAACAAAGCTATGGAAAGACCACAAGAGACAGAAAAGGAAAATCCTTTCCAAATCTGGTAGATTTTAGAACTAAATTGTATTATTATGAAAACAGAAAAACCTCTTCACGTATAGATAAATGAACGCAGTAATATTTCAGATCTTGCTGAGAAAACAGTCGAGAATGAACAAGACGGTAAGATAGATGAAATAGAAGAATAAGCGAATTTGCTATAGGTGAGGTGATGTTTATTCTACATATTCAAACTAATAATATTTATTAACGTTTAAAATAGTACAAACACTTTATTTCCAAAGTAAATGAGATAACATTGATTTGTAACGTTTTAAAAAAGATAGAGCACTGAGAAAACCTGTTTTAAAGTTTTGTACAAAGATCTCCTCAGCCTTAAGACTTCTGGTTGATGAAAAGCAAAGAATTTGGTGAACAGTTAGTTTCCAGTAGGGGTTTTAGGGGGACAACTTAATATTTTTATGCAATTTGATTATAATCGTAAAAGGGTTGTGCTGATGATCTTTAGATTAGATAAAAAATAAAGTATCTACTTTTAAATCAAACCAGAAATGTTTATTGTTAGAGGTAATACGGGACATTCCTCTAAACATTAATGAAGTGAGATAATTTAAGCTTTGTAAGCTTACAAATATGGATCCGAGGATAAAATTTCACATCTTTGCACTGTAAAAAATTATGGACTCAAAATTACACTATCACAAAAAATAATAACGAGAACAGATTATTATATCGAAAACATCGCTGACATTAAACCCCCAATAGATGGAGCCATAACTTCTTACGAGTAATTTTTTTCGTTGCTGAAAAATTTTCATTCCATTACTTGTATGAACGAACACAGATGAATAGGCATAAAAAATGAAAGACAGAATTATATTTTCTTAGCTTTTTAATATTATGCGACATTCCACACCTTTCATCTTGCAGTAGTACTAACCTGGGTTTGGTTATTAGAAGCTGGCCTCAATACCACCTTATGCACCAAGATATTGTACGATCGGTACATCATTGTCTTGAGCGATTAAACTTATGGCTTTCGATCCGATCCCAAGTTTAAGAAGACTCATTTGTGTTTTTAGGCCTTGGCTGTTCCTCTCTCAGTAGTAAGCATTCTCACAACATTGTCCGCCAAATGTCCCCGAGGTTTAAATGCACTTTTTTTGCTGGTAGGACATTGAAGCATTACCCTGCATTTGACTATGGCTTGTGAGATTTATAATGAATTCAAAAGAACTTTCAAGGCAACAGTGGTAGTGGTGGTCTTTCTCATTGGACATGTAATGCGTACGCTAACCTCCGGATAGTACTTAGGATCAGCTGTAATCGTCGAACAAACCACATGGAACTAGTTAAATTTAGTCCAGCTTTTCCCACAAAGGAGTTTACATCTACCAGCGTCTTGGGTCAATATAGACTTTCACTAGTTACAGCTCCATTGAGATCAATATAGAGGTATTTTCCTGGTTCCCTTTTCTCGGTTAAGGAAACCACGATAATTTTATTGACAACCCTTCTTTTTTGCATGAGCTGTTTGTTAGGTTGATTTCGTATTGCACCCTTCTTTTGATGGCCTCGGTAAAGGTTAAATACTATTACTACCATTTCATGTTGCTTATCCAGACAGGTTAAGTCCTCGTCAGATAATGACGTAGAGGATAAGTAATACGAAAAGTCCAAAGTTATGTTTGATTCGTGTTTGCCACACTACCGGTGTTCTGGGTTCAAATCCTGGCACATCCCAATTGATTTTTAATAGATCACAATTCCCTAGTTTTCGTGGTCCGCTTGACCAATTGATCATAATATAAAAACATTCTGGTATAACGGTTCTGACCTTTCGTCTGTAACACCCAATTAATTGGAAGTTTAGTCCTCCAAGTTTAGTTAATCCTTACAGGAGGACTAAACTTCTAATTAATTGGCTGTTACAAACGAAAGGTCAGAACCGTTACACCAGACTGTTTTTATATTATGATCAATTGGTCAAGCGGACCACGAAAACTAGGGAATCGTGATCTATTAAAAATCAATTGGAATGTGCCAGGATTTGAACCCAGAACTCCGGTAGTGTGGCAAATACGATTCGGACGATGTAACCACTCGGCTTATGAAGTCCTAAAAGTAAAGTAATTTCTTTTATACAGGAAGGTTATCGTCCAACTGCCCATTGTATGTTGCAGACTAGGGCGCAAACCATAATTCTATAGGTTTTTTATACTATTCTCAATAAAAAATGGGCTGTGCCAGGGTTTGATCCCAGAACGCTACTGTGGCAAATACAAGTCAAATGCTCTAACAGGTCAACTCGGTCTCCTCACTGTAAAATACTTGTATTTTTACAACACTTTTTGTGTATTTCGATAATTAATTCGTACAAATTGAGGCGTTCTAATATTGGAAAAAAATTGTTGTCACAGTTAATAAATTAAGTATTTAGAAAATGGTAATAGACCTGGGAAAACTTTGAAGTATTTTCAACTCGAGATACTTCCTTTATTTTAGCCGTTTGTATATGAATAAAATAGGTTGAGTATAAAATAAATAATTTAGATCAAATATCTAATCTTTTCTAATCATATTGAAATTCAAGGCAAAAGTTACTTATTCGATTTATATTGCCGCAAAAGAGAAAGCATACAATTAGTTCGTGCTTCTTAAAATATCATTTTTTTGAAATTTAGAAAATCGATGTTTTTTCTTTTAGGTTTCAATACAAACGCGAGAGGATAAAAAACACTCACACAGTAAAGTAGCATAATTAGAGTCCTTTTTTCTAAGGACTAGTTGTTTTTAATCAAAATAAAACAGGGATTTATATATTTTTTTCATTTTAAGAGTTTGTAAATAAATTAGACTATTGGATTTGTTAATTAATTTGCGTGATTAGAATAAAGTATTGATTGTAAACGACAATACGCAGAATATTACTTCTGTTATTACTTGTATTACTTATTAACTACGTGCTAGAAATTTTTCAGTTTGTTTTGAACTGCAATAATTTTTTTACACTATAATTTAAATTCCATCATATGTTATACCAGTCACTGATACGCTGCCCAAATATGTAATAAACTATCTTGTAGTGGATTCCCCAATTCAATGATATCGAGATCGCTGGAAGGTCGTACAAATCGCATTTGTTTCATTGCATTCACTTCTTAGTCACATTTCCCTCCCTGTGTTTAGCAACCAGCTGATCGTGTGACAAGTGTAGCAAGGATGCTAGTTCCTGCAAGGGTAGAGTTCTCGGTAGGACCTGGTCTGACGACAATTAATATACATATTATAATAAATTAGTTGAATAGTTAGGAAACATCAATAATAATTTAAAAAATGTGTACTTTGCAGACATGTTCAACCACTACCGAAAATTAATTTTTTGTTGATCTAAATTAAATTTATAATAAAAGAACAAAGTATTGCAGAGAAAAGTAAACAAGCTGGAAACATTTCTTATCAGTGCAAGGAGTAAAAGGAAACTGGGACAGATAGCAAACAAAACCCAAAAGTATGCTCTCAGAATGAGTTTATTATATGACCACAAGGTCTGATTTATTATCAGTATTTATGTTTAAATTTTCGTCTTACAAATTTCTCATTATTTATAATATAAACGAATAGTTGATGTGCTATTCGATTAATTAATTTATAGTTACAAGTTTGCCCGAACGGCGTGCGTGACCAACATTTCTTCACGACTAACAAGTCTTACGGGTTTAGTATCCAAGACGCCCTGATTGCAAAAATATCCCACAAGAAAAACAACAAAAGATTTTTATTTTTATTTCTAGTTTAAGAACTATGCTAATTGTGTGACATAAAAATTATAAAATGAGCCTTTAAAGAACAGTGGTTTTGTTTCACATAATGTATAACCTATACCTTTGACTATTACATTTTAAAAGTGATTATATAAAGAATTGATTTAGGAACAAAATAGCCTAGAAATGTATATAATTTTTTGAAGGACTTGTTTTTCATGCTAATAGTATTTCATGGTCATCTCCCTTTCGGGCTCATCCTTGCCACAAGATACCACAAGGTTTCTTTGGACGAAAATTTGATTTGGTCCATGAATATTGCGCATAAATATTGCGATATTTGCGTCATAAATTGAACAATAATCCCCATTATTAGAAATATACTCTCGACGACTGGTGTAATCCAGAGCAAGCAAATTCGGGTTTCATTTCTACAATTTATCCTAACACCATGGATTGCGCAAAGGTCGAATCGGAATTTTTTTCGTTTTATTCTCCGGTGAAGCTACATTTATAATACATTTAGTGATGGATCATTGAACGCCACAACATTACTGATCAATCATTAACCAACATCAGTAGTGAATATTTCAAACAAATATTCAAACAAATCCGTCCTAACGTTTTTCGATGATACTATGAAAGGCCAGGTTTAGGCAGAAATTTTGAGGAAATTTTATAGGAAATTACAGCATAATCAATTATTGTTGGATCAACTGTTCAATAGACTATTTACATAATACATTTAGATTTGACCATGAAATGTCAAGAAAAAAATGAACGCAAAAGTTATTGTACGAACAAGCATTATTAAATATGATGGTTAAAAGTATACGTTGTACATAACCAGGCTATATCCTAGGAAGAAAACCACGTTAAAAAACAGCTTATTTCATCATTTTCAGGGGAAAAAGTCAACATTTTTATAAACTAGCAGTAAAAAGAAAAATCTTTTACTTGGAATTTTCTTTTGTATTTTGTCTCTGTAAAGATATATTTATGATTGCGACGTCTTAATCAACGAAGACCTCTCATTTTCCTCTATTACGGAAGTACCACCATATTTGTAAAACTCATAAACTCTCTAATTTAATTTTTCTACGAGTTCGTTTTTTTGTCCTGTCATATCCAAAATCCACAAAAGACAAATTTTAAAAGTTCAATATCGACAGATAAATTTGTTTGATTGGCTATAAAACCTTAAGCGCTGGGTCCATTTAGAACTATTGTTCTCCTTCCAACATGAGTTGTAGCTCGTTATGTGCCCTCAGGCTTTTTATTAGTGGCTCTTCCTCAGCTCTGTTTACTTACCTTTTCTTCACTAGGATCTCATAGTAACACATAATATTTACTGATGTTTCCTTTTCTTCTTGGAACAACGTTGTTTTCAGTCACTCCATGTATTTCAAAATGCCTATTTAGACGGTAATTGTCCACTTAACAAACCGGCATTGATCCTTCGATTAAGCAGGTCTGTAGTATTTAGGTACATGCCTCCCATTCTGTTTAGTGGTTTACTACATGGTACGGGTTTCACTCCTGGTCGTGATGAAGACCACTTACTAGCTAGTCTCAAAGCCAATTCGTTACCGTATTGTCCTATTTGTTATGTGACCACAACAACTTGTTCTCCATGCCTATTTCTCCCAGAGCATTCATTCTGCCCAATATTACGCGCTGCTAAAAGAATAAAATTGTTATTTTTTGTATTATAATTATGCATTCTAGATTTGCATTACTTCTACATAATTCCTCTTCAATTTTGACAAAATTATTTATTACTTTTTACATTTTACAATTTGTGCTTATTTTAAATTATATTAATGTGTAGTATAAAAATTCCTTGCATCATAGATAAAAGTCTCTACTTATCATTTTCTCAGAGAAGAAATTATGTTGACTGTTCACTCCAGTTTGAGTCTTCGTCTACGAGGATGCCAGAGACATGACGCCAAGGAAGGGTTTTTAAGAAATGCAATAGACGTATTTTCCCTACGTCTATGCAACACATTTCCAACGTACCATGGCGCAGTAATGAGGCGTAAGTGTTTGATATTTAATGCTGTTGATTGGAC